ATATATATATATATATATATATATTTGTTTATATAATTTTCTACTCAAACTTTTTCAATTTCTATTTTTACGATAAAATAATATATTCAATAAATATGCTGTTATTTTTTATTGAATCTTGTGGATTAAAGAGAGAGTATTTTTTAATAAAATATACATAATTTATCTTAAAATTATGTGTAAGGTAAAAATCAAAGTTTCGGTAGTTTAGTCAAAATATTGTAAAGTTACACATTATATCGAAAAATGTTGCGTTTTGTTCGACACATAAAAAAAAAAGATCAAAAGATGGAGGGGAAAAGAAGAAATCATAACGGCTTTATTGTTTGCAGGCAATGGTGCATACAGCCATTTTCTATCACGAGTTAGCTCGTTAGCGTTTAAACGTAATTGCATCACTCGTAACTACTGTGTCCCGAGGGTGGTCGAACTGCCTTACGAAGTCGCGTGAGTCATTTTGATTGGATCCAGAAATTAAGGGTGGCAAAATGGCGACCCTAAACGTGCTGATGAAAATGCCTTTGGCAACCAATCGACAATACTACTGGAATTGTACGTATTAATTTTATGTTTTCTATGATGAATGTATAATACTTTTGTCATAGATATATGTAAACTTTAAAAACAATTAATATCTTTTAAATCTTTATCAGAATTATTACGCAATTTTAGCAACAACTAGAATTAATTATATAAATTTAAAATTGTTTACTGAATATTTTTAAGAATTTATATAAAAGCTTTTAAAGCTGCAGAGAAAAATATATTTTACATTAATAGAAAATTTTTTTGTACAAAAACTTTTAAATTAAAAAGATGACATAAAAAATTCTAAATTTAATATAAATTTCATTGAAGATTGACTGAAGAATTGACTTAACATAGCCAATGACAAGCTTGAATGAGATAAAAAGCAAGATGGATGTATAAGTATATATGTATATGTAGATAAATACACCCGAGATATCTTGATATTTTATCTCATTTGATTATCGAACCGACTTTATCAAATTTATTATCAATTTTTGGTGAACGGCAATTTTATCCCGACGCACCCCGTCTCTTTGGTCACCCACTCTTTTTTGAAGTAGGGTAACTCCATTTCTGTCTCCAGTCGGCCGGAAGTCTTGCGCAAATGGCTGCTCAACCATTTCCGCACGAGGAAGAAATCAAATGAACGTACGATAGATGCTATAAGGGAAACCGAAGGGATCGGCAGGGATTTCAGGATAATGTGCCTAAAGATAGGTAGCAAGAAGAGAGTAAGAGTCCCCTTCGGCACTCTCGACGCACCCTTCTGACAATTTTACGGAATGTTTTATCATTTTTTTCTTACCTTCGTCGTCGATCATCTGCGAAAATTCGACAAATCGCATCAGAAATCATATTCGCATTGCAGCGCATCGGAGATGTCAATGCTAGATCGTTCATAATAAGATTATGTGGTCAAGTCATCAAATAATCTACTCTATTTACCCTCTTATAGCTTCGTATTAAATTTCTTTAAATCCATTATTTATAAATAATAAATTTTTTCATATAATCATTCATTATAGCTTGCTCATTTTTTATTACAAAAAAGCGAAAATGTATTTATTTATATTTAATAAATAAATACATTTTCGTACTAAATAATGTACTATAAGAAACAAAATTTCTCACTATGTTTATATTTTAAACTAGCACATATTTGCTTTCAATAACAAATGTTATCATCCTTAATATTGAGAAGAGATTATTGAATTATTCAGTATAGTCTTGTATTTTATTATTCAAATTGTAAATAATAAAATTAAAAATGTAATCATTAAATTAATCGATAAAATATAATTCTTTGCTCGTTATCCTTGACATACTTATTTGTAGATTTACACGTAGAACAATTTCTATAAATGATAATATATATCTTCATCATGTTTCTCACGTGTTGTCATCATCACAATAATTGCTACTATATTAATTACAAATACCTGTATATAACAACTTTCAAAGATAAATGTATTTCAAATATATAATGTATAATATTATACTGAAAAAATAAAATAAAACATATCTCACGTGTGCAACACAAAAGCATATCTTACCTTACCTCGCACTTTAGCCGCACTTCTTAAGCTCTTGCTGGTGCAAACTATCAATCCTTTTCGGATTCCATACAACTACCATCTTTGAGAATCCTGAACACTATCTAGAACTCCTAGGAGAGTCTTCCTACGTTCCCTTGCTATTCCCCTTCACCGAAGATACGGCTCGCCATAAGAAGGGAACGAGAATGGAAATGGCCGATTCGCGTATACAGGTAAATAAGTGCACGCGTGAACGACACACGTGTACATCCGTGAAAGGGGTTGGTGTCAAGGGAGGAGAGTACCACGGATATAGATGGGGGGATGGGGGGAAAGAAGTGGGAGGAGAGGAATACCACGAACGACAGCCCCAACCGGGAATATTCATATTCCTATTCCTGATGTTGGCACAGCCTGCGGGCCAGACGTGTTCAGGGCCGTGACACTCCGCCCGTGGTGAAAAAAAAAAGAGTGAGTCGACAATGCAACCGGGGTTGCGATTTAAATGCACTCGGCGCCGATTGGCGGATGAGCGGGGTGGTGGGCGTGGCCCCGACGTTGCCTTATGATTTTATATGTAGTCTCTTGATAGCATAGCATTTCCCCTTCGCAGCCTCGCCACCGGTCCATCCATCCGCCGACGATGTTTCCCTCTAACCCCCTCTTTGGGTGTACCCTTAGCCCAACCACCCTTCCTTCTCCGCTTCTTCCTACTCTTCTGCAGTCCCCTTCCATCATCCGTTCTTTCGTTGCGCGAACCCCTCGTTGCAGCCTACATTTGGACGGATGCATAAAATGCATCCGTAGCTGCGAAGAGTCGTCCGCTTCGAGTATAACGTACATAATAGATCCAGAAACGCCTGGCATTCTCCGTTATCCGTCAAGCGGAGAAGGTGGTGGAGAGGAGTCCGATGGATAAAATGGGAAAAATATTTTTCCAAGATGCGTACGTTCACGCATAGAACACGCGCGTCTTTATTGCACTCAGACTTTACTTACCCTCACTCTCCCCTGAGGAGCCCGGTCTTTCAGACTAAATGTGCAAACTCGAAATCCGTTTCCGCGTCTGTCATATCTTCTTCGAAGTTATTAACGTTAATGTTTTCAATCAAAATTAATATCTTATCTGCGATGGAGAACGTACAGGTTCGAACATTAAATCAATGTTAATCATGGCTGTACTTAAAAATGTACATTTTGCAAAAAGTCTCACATATAACAAGAACGAAAAACTGTTGCAAAAATTATTATTTAAGTACTCCGTATTCTATTCATTATTTATTATTATTATAATAATATTAAAGTTTAAAATTTTTCAATGCTAAAAAAATAAAAGATTGATATGCTAAATAAATTTATAAATTTTGTACGACTCTCTAGGATATTATGATTATGGAGCAGCACAATAAATAAAATAAACAATTTTTAATTAAATTATAAAATGTTATTAGTTATATTTTATTAGCAATAACGATAAAAAAATTTAGGTTAATATTTTAGATCGTTTAAAACAGTTTATACTTTAATTTACTCTAGGATCTATCATAATTCTCATATTTCAATACAAAAAATTTATAAATTTCTTCGTTCGTGTATACAATTAAGAAAATTTCTATAATACTAACAATGGAAAATATTTTCAGAAATTCATTGGTTTTTAATGTCTCGCAGAATGAATAGGTTTTTATCGAGAACGGTAGCAGCATTCATCAGAAACCGGAACGGAAGATCTGGCCGAAACCTTTGACGCGTAATGAACCAACAAAAGCTCGACCGATCGAACACTCGATGAGGAAACGACATAATATCGTAATGGATTTCATGACCGTGGAGGATTTCGTTCTTTCCTCCTAATGGCTGCCGCAATATGATCTACCGACCGATATAACATCATGGTGCTCGAGTGGCTTGAACCATCGTAGTACGATGCAGATTGCAAGTTGAGTATTAATAGATAGCGGGTAGCAAAGAACCCTCTCGCTCTCCTTCCGTTTAGCTGCTTCAGCACATTAATATTCATAGCCCAGAGAATCCAGTGTCGTGTGCTCGTGTGCCCAATGTTGCTGTCTCGATTTCTCCATCGCGGTGGATTTGCTGTCATCTCCGCGCTCCATCGACACGACGCAACTGCCTTTTCGAAATTTCTTAAGCACACGAAGTGTACAAACATGCCTCCCGCCTTTATTTTAACCAGAATATGATAAAATTGCTGGCTTGTCAAAAGGGGATCTTGTAAGGATAATTCTCGAGATTCTCGAGTGTCTTTGAAGATCGCTATCAAAGGAATTGTTCATCGAGAAAATTATAGCATAATATGTTTTTACAATATCGTATTGCAAATCACTTTTAAATTGATCGATAAAAAGTATTATGATTAAGCTCCGTAATGCCATTACATCAATACATAAAAATATAATATAAAATATATAAAAAATTTATCTTTAATATTATCACCTCAATATTATCAATATTATTAATATTATAATAAAATTAGATGTACGTATAATTTTGATGTTGTATATTAACAATATTTTAAAGTAATATTTTAAAGTAATATATTTAAGATTCTTTATATGATAAGAACTGAACGCTATATTTAAATTTTATAATAATTTAAAAAATTTTTAATATTTTTTAATATCATGAAGAAAACGATATTTTATTTAAATTGTTCTAAAATTTATACAACATCGAATAATGTGTGTGAACATGGTTTTTATATCTCTACAAACTCATATTTTGCATCATTATTAACAATATTCTTTTCGTTAAAGTAAGAGCAAAAGTAGCGTCACAAGTCTAAGTAGCATACTTCTATGTATGACACTACACGCGTCGAGGCTACTAGAATAGAAGTGCTACAAGATTCTCCAGGTTTGTTAGTAGAGTTAGCCTGTTGCATCCTCGATAGCTTCGGGCCACGCTGAAAAACTTCTGGCAAGGTGTAGTGCAGGCCAACACTGGGGGGGAAAGAAAATGTCGGAAAGTGCCGAAAGCGACAGAGATCTTGTCCTGTTGCCTCTCGAGGCACTCGAGTCACGACACATCGTCCAAGCTTCTAATCTGACCTTGAGTTAACACGCACTACGACTTTTGACAACAGCGTCGAAATTTTTTGCTACGATTTACTTCTAATATTTTAAATATTTAACTTATTTATATATTATAATTATATATTATAATTATGTAATTGTTTAGTCAATTAAAAACATTATCATATCAAATATAAAAAACAATTATTTCTATTTAATATCTTTTATATATATAAGTATATATGTACAATTTATTGCATCTTTTAATTAAGATTAAATTGATAAATAATGATATTAGCAATTTATTTATTAATAAAATTATATCAACTGTACTCTTTAATTAATTTTTAATTAATTAAAACATATTTAAAAAAATGTGCCTTTTCTACTTCAATATGTAATTATATATTATGCATAAAAATTTATTATACCGACTAGAGCTTATGTTAATTTTATAAAAGCGTATTTAGTGTCGTATTTGTTTCGTAATAATAATAATATAATTAAATGATAAATAAGACACAACAACAACAACAACAACAACAACAACAACAACAACAACAACAACAACAACGCAACAACAACAACAACAGCAGCAACAACAGAAATAATAATAATAATTATAATGATAATGATGATGATGATGATGGAGAGTGAGCAATATCAATTCAATGCGCATTAAATGTATGGGATTAATGGGAATCGAACTAACGTTTATCATTCGACAATTAGTGTTTCTACACACAATCGACTTGATAGACGTATCAGACTAGAAGCGATGATGCGTGATGGAAACACAAGTCGTTCGAGAAAGATATAATTACAACTGATTACTTAATTAGTTATGAACTGATTACTTAGTTAGTCAGGGAGCGCTTGAAACTGTCAAAGGCAGAGATGATGTCTTTCTAGTTTAGATTTTCGCTCTCTCTAACATTATTATAAAAATAAATAATATGATAATATAAACACACATGTTTTATATATGTGTGTGTGTGTGTGTGTGTGTGTGTGTGTGTGTGTGTGTGTGTGTGTGTGTGTGTGTGTGTGTGTGTGTGTGTGTGTAGTGTGTGT